AGGTGCATTTAAAATTAAGATTTATTGCACAACGGGTTCCACTTATCATTCAGAAATGATCTTTAGGTCATTGCGTGCAATTTACATTTTTTAATATTTTTAACTTCAATCTGATTCTAATGTTCATTCCATTTACATTAGCCGAAATTTTCGCAATACTAAGTAATAATAGTTGGTTCGGTTCTGTCGGCCTCCCAGCTTTCTGAAATACATACTGCTCAATTTTAAGTAAATACTAGGTCTAAACTGTCCCAACTTTTCATTGTCGCTATCCTACATGTAATAGTAAGTGTAGACGAATAAAAACGAATACAAGGTTTAATGGGCAAAATGTCCATTGTATGACTTGAAAATCACCAGCTTACTTTTATCAATATACTTGCAATTAGAATTGTTACACAGGAATTCATTTTACAATTATTGTTCACTCGAAATTAAATTTCATTTCTTTAAGAAATTTCAACTGAACAGGGACTATTTTATTCTCTTAAGTTTACTGGATTTGATGAAAGTATTGCTGGAAGAATTTAAATAGGTCTTTAACAGTGATTTAACAAATATTTATTAACGAGTCGAAATATTTGAGCTTCTTTTTTTCTAAATCAGGATATTTTAGTGGTGATTAATTACAATTCACGAACTTAAACTATAATTTATTGATTGCTTAATACATTTCAGTAGAATTACTTTTTAAATCGGTCAAGTACCTTATTATAATTTTCATTACTACGGTCACATTATATTGATTGGCATACTTTTTATTTTGCATGATCTAATGTTATCATCTTTTTCAAGTTTTCACTTTATATGCACCTATAAACATTAAATTTATTAACGAATTACAGTTTTAGTTAAGGTTCCAGTGACTAAATTAATTAGTGTAGTCGTACAAAACCAGAAATTTTAGTGAAGACCTTAGTTTATGTCACGTTATCTATATGATGTTTGTTGTATGTGTCCTGATCAATTTACAATGTTTTTGATAAGATGAACAGTGTTACGCTATTATTATTTTTTCTATTATAACAGTTTTGCGTAATTGATAATTCCATTTCTTTGATATCCAATTTTAATGGTTACTGAATATAATTGTACCTTGTAAATCCTAACTTATCTATTCTCGTCAAGACACACTCGAAGTTATTGTAGTCAAAGTAGTTAATTGACCGACATGAGCAAATGAAAAGTGAATGTAATTGGGATAAGGCAAACGGATTCTACAGTTTGATACGAAAAAATAATAATCTAAAAAAGGGATTATTTCTAGTTTATGCTTTCTGTTAATAGCTGATTTATAACGTGAATTGAAACAGGATTAAGCATACGACACAACATCCCTTCGTAAATTTCCAACTTTGTTAAAGTGAAACTGATTACATTTTCAACATATATCAGCCACAAAAGTATTTTGGAAAAACCAGTGTAATCTTATCCAAAAGATTACGATTCGAGAAGTGTATGAATTGTGAATGATTATCTTGAATATTAAAATTTCCCTCGACAAATTTCACCTTTATACCACTAATTTATACATTAACTAATCCTTGATCGAATAGTATGTATCATGATCATATGAGATGAATATATTATTTTAAAAGAAATCGAATTCAATTATTCAATTTACTAATGATAATATTTTAATAGAAAAATCTGTCAACTGATTTTGTTTGGCAAATTCAATCATATGATAAAAAATATAGATGGATTTGTTGAAGTACAACAGCTGACTACCAATTTTTATGTTAAATTCATATATTGAGTGGTTCAGATTGTTAACTTTTGTTAACCATAGCGGAAAGGGATTTTATTATTAGATCAAAAGCTTTACTGTTCAGTACTCTGCCTGTTGAGATTTGCTGTAAATAAATGTTCCTAAAGTGATATCTTTATTCTTAATAATCTATGGTATCTGTCCATTTAGTATCGATTCATCATATATAGTATTGGTAAACAATGTTTTGTTTACATAACTATGTAGTCGTCCATAAATAAATACAATAATGTTCCCTGCACAATTTATAGTTTGTTGAAACTAAAACACATATGACTAATAAACATCATTTATTCAGGTGAAGTTAGATTGGAATAATAGTAAAGTTTAAAGTAGTAACGTGTCAAATGTTATTTAATGATTATCAGAATGTGTTTTGTGAAGATTTTTAGAAATTTCACAAGTTGAAATCATGAGTCAATTGAAGCTAGATCACCATGGAAAACTTGGAAGCACTGGACAGCCGTTTCGTCCTGATGTGGGACTCCTCAGTTTATTAACTGAAATATCGATCCATGTTACAAACGCATATTAATGCAATTAAGAATGTACATTATGTAGATAATGAGGAATTTTATTTTATTTTACTTTTCCTAAAGATCGGTCAACAAACTGCTTGGGTATTGTTAAAAGGAACTCGGATATCTACCATCTAGTTACGTGTTTTCTACTTAGTACAGATACTACTTAATACATATGCTAGGTTAATCTATTTTAATCACTGAGACTATGAACATTGGGAGTGAATCAAGACGTTATTTCAGTGGCTTAGAATAATGAGTCCTAAAAAATACACAAATGAGTAGTGCATCCTATGATTCTATATGAAGTAACATGGATTAGTCTTATTGTCATATGACTTGACAAATAAATTTTTCAATGGTTAAGATCATGAGTCAATTGAAGCTAGACCACCATGGAAAACCTGGAAGCACTGGAAGGCCGTTTCGTTCTAAATTTCTGTAAACAATGAATATCAAGGCTTTGCACTTACCAAGCTGATATTGTCAACTAGTTCAAGTGCACTAACTGTTTAATTCACAAAACTTATAATAAATAATAGATTTTGACCTAATTGTCCAACTCATCATTTATAACGTAAACCACGAAAACAATAATCAAGTTTTGCAACGTGAAATAAACAAAATAACTTTTACATTATTCCTTATATCATTGTACATCACCAACATGAATTCTAATAAGCTTATTGAAAGTCAGAGGTTAAAGTCGCATATATGTATTCCATGAAAATAAATCAAAATAGGTAATACCTAAACAATGCTGACAAAATAAGTTTAGACTTTTTCGAACAAAATAACTCACTTTTATATCTCATTTCATAGTTACAATAGTAGAATTTAAATGTAGACGTTTAATTTTAGTTCGTGGAACTTACATGAAACATAAACTGCATAATAATATAGTACCATAAGATATACTGGGCGTCAATGATGCTACTAAATAAAGATCTTAAAACATTTTGAAAGATAACCAGTTCATATTATAAATGTGTTTCTATCGTAAACTGTGACTGATGTATTCTCACAATTATATTGATTATGGCCAAGTCAAGGCTATGTATATCAAATGATTTCTTTTGATTACAGAATTTAACTTTCTGGATATTTTAAAGCAATTTTACTAGTAAAAGCTTGTATGATGTATCAGCATTTCTTAAATAAAGGGTTCTCATTTCTTAACTGTGACTTGTTGTTCTGTCCTTGAAATTAAACGTTTGTTCTCATTGACTTATATTAGTTTAACGAGAATATGAATATTTTCAATCATAGCTGTCAAACACATAGTTTGTTTGGTTCGTATTACCAGCTAATTGCAAAAAATTCTCTAAAGGGACTTGAATGATTGTGGACATTTGGAGCTAACAAGAAGCCTTAAAATATAATGGATTCGCTTTATTCTGCAAATATTCTCCTCGCTTTATTCAAGTATATATATATGACCAAATTTTTACATTTGCATATTAAACATCTATCAAATCTGACTGAATATAAAACGATTTTGCTTCTTATTGTTCAGGAAATATCTTCACGTTTCAAACTTAAAACCTTATCCAGAATGACTTTTTTCAGGAGAGGATAAGATCGTCTACTTAGATAATAGGGATTCCTGAAGGAGTTTGCTCTATGACAGGTCAGTTTGTTGTTACCTATTACACCTAGAACTGACAATTCTTTTACAAGTGAGTGTGTCAAGAGTTATATTTCATCAAACTGACCGAATCAACTCATATAATTACTTATGCTAATATTGTATATAAAAAATTACTTACTAATCAGCTCGAATCTTTTTCAGGCGAATTTCCATTTCGAAAAATGATAAGATATTCTGCAAAGAGCTCACTTTTCAACTCAAAGTTTAAACTTGGATTAATTTTAATTTGGTTATTTATTCTCTGAGGAAGTGACTTACACTAAGTCACGAAACGTCAGATAATCTAATTTTCTACTCATTGGGATATTACAAATATATTATTTATTTATAACAATCTACCCAATGTTCAATTTATTCGAAATTATCAAATCAAACCTTGCTAATGATACATACTCCATTATTGTATCATATCTCCTCTAAAAACAAAAGTTGGACCTATCTCCTATGGTTACTTATCTGACTGTAAGTCAGCTCTGTGAAATAGGTTCAATATAAAAAGGAACTATATTCAAAGCACATTTGTTAGCCTCATATTACTAAAACAAACTCTTGGAATAAAAACGGTTGCTGTTATGCTGTATTCGTAAAAAGGTGGAATAAAATATATGTTCTGAAAGGAACACTTGTATCTTGGGCACATGACTAATTTGCTGCAGTTACAAAATCACATAACTTTGTTTCATTCACTCAATTAAGCAACGGCTTCCGGCAATTACATCATTCTACGTCTTTATGAGAAAATAAAAAACGGATACTTAGCCTGTCAGCTTTTTGACAGTAAACTGGAAAACGCAATTATGTTATACGAATCTGTTTTAAAATATATTGGTATTTGTTTATTTCTTGCTAGAAAAATTCCTTATATCTCATACAACTTTATTCACTTACATCGTTGCGAAGATTAGTGACTCTACTCTTTACGTAAATCTGCGGTTTCTTGTTGTGGCATTTTCTCAGTCAGTCTTATCATTATTATTTTTATCAATTTATGCCACATTCATAAATAGTGATTCAACAAATCTAAAATCTGTGATAAAAGTCACTTTCTTTGGAGATTGAAATATAATGTTAATCACGAACTTACAGATGTGAAATTTTAAAATTTAGGGAACGGTGGACAACTGTTCAATTTAGTCTGTTTATCAAATTAACTGTTGATCCAATAAGGCCAAATGTAGAAATGTAAACAGTTAGTTGTATTCGTTATTTCCTGTAAATAAATTATATGCACTACAGTTATTTTGACAGATGGAAAAGTTAAAAATGGCAACTTACATGTCAGACCATAACTTTTAACATCTACAAGCATGATGACCCTAAAATTTTTACATGATGTCATTAACAAAACTCACAAAAGCAGTGTATGTGGAAGGCTACAAATTCTTTTTGTTCTATAAAACTGTTTATTAAGCTTTTTTTACTTTAGAAGCATCTTACAGTACATATGAGGTTGAAAATCCTGTAACTGTTCGAAATACTCTAATCTCATATCAGATAAGGGATACGGATAACGTATTGATAGTTATTGTAATATCAGACGTTTTGTACTAGGAAAGTTATGTTTATGTTTTATTGTTTTCAGCCAATTTAGAACAAGGTAGAATAACATTACTCATAAGGTAACACTAGAGATCGCTTATCATGTATAATCGTAAAAGCCTTATTCAGATATGAACCATTAATTGTGTTTGAATCTTCAGAGAGTTTCTGTGACGCTAATAAAAATCGAATGATGACAGTTGAGTGGCTCTAAGCTGCAACATTTGGTGGCTGATTCAGTGGTGTTAATATTAGTTATTTCTTTATGGAACCGATTTCATTTGTCATTGGTTCCATAGAATAATAGATCAATAAGGAATACCGAGTGCTGTGCCATTTATTTTTCATTCTTGTCAATTTTCTGTTGACTCTTTCTGAAGTTTAGACACTTGTTTTCTTGATTTAAAGCTCGCTCACACTGCAAACACAGTTGATTAGTTCAGAAAAGCTGACAGGAACCTATAATACTATACTTAAGGTTCTGCTTTTCAAATATTTGTAGTTAAAATAATTAACTAGTTTTTGCCTAACTTCAAGGATTTAGATTTTATTACAAATTTATGCATTGTACTGTATTAATAGACTAATCAGAATTCTAGCTGTCTTACTCTAGCACCGAACTGTCAGTAAAGTTATCAGCCATACCAAATCAGATTTCTGTTACGAAAAATATGTTAATTAACATTTAATATAGGTACTGACTTTATATCTTATCAATTTTGTGCTACTTTGTCTGTTCTAAGTATTTTTAATTGAATAAATAATCAGTTCTGACTATCCAATTACATCTCCAGTTTTTACCAATCTGTCTATACACAACAGTTATTATGTCGATGGCTAGCAAAGAGAAATAACATGTTATTGCTCTTAACATAAAAATTTTCATGTGCTGGTCTTTTAAAGAGTTCAAGATGTTTCTGTAAAATTCTCAATATGAGAATCAAAGGACTCTTTAATCATCAACTAAGGTTGGTAAAAAAGAGCTATTGTAATTAGATAGAAAGTTTGTTCCGTCACAATACTCAACCATGAAACACTCCTGAAACTGTGCTGTTGTCGCCAAGAGCTAATACGGTATAAATTACAATTAAACGATTTGATATTATATCATCATTTAAAGTAGTTGTTCTAACTAAAATCTATAAGATCATATGTGATCAAAGCGCAGCAATAACACAATAAAATTTATCATCGGTTTGAGAAGATTCTAATAACGAAGTAATTATTTATGGTATTAAAAACTAATTACATTTGCTCCTGAGTATTTAGAGTTGCTCGACATGATGATATAGACTGGCTGGAACCCATCAGTTTGTGATTATGTTTATCTGTCAAAGACTGTTTTTATTACAGTCATAGTCATTAACATTAAACTAGTGAAACTCAGCTTGATATTTTCTGATCCTGCCACGTTAATATTTACATGATACAGACGCAGGTTTATAAAACTAGATTTCTTTGATCACATGTAAGTGTGGGTGCTTGTTCGTAACTCAGTAGAATACGGATCAAAAATAAAGTTTAGCGTAGCATGATATACTAGAGCAGTTAAAAGATAGTGACTAAATTATTACGGATATTTAGGTTATAAAATAAAAATCATGTTAGTAACTTTAGCAGATTTGAAAGTTAATTATTTCTAGTTACTTTTATACCCAGTCTCAATAAAGAAGAAAACAACCGTAAGAGTCGAGTAATTTTGATCGTTCTCTTTACAAGATTCTTATTAGCTGCTTAGAACCTAAAAATTTGAAATAATTTTACGAATTGAAACCTATTTGACTAAAAAATACTGCAAGGATCAGTCGCAGAAATGTTTTACATCTGAAACCAATATAAGTGAATATCTGAAGTATCGTACGTTGCCAACAAAAACATCTACTAAGGGGACGATAAAATGAATACTTAAAAGTATAAGGAAAGTTTGACAAACTCTTTTAAAAATATCAGTTTTCTGAAAATGATTAACTTTTTACAGGATTTATTAAAGTAGGTTAATTATGAAGCTATACTTTCAGAAAACTCAGTTTTGAATAAGGTTTATTTTAACTCACATAAGAAGTGTAGCTATAAGTTTGAAACTATCAACTTACATATATTTTACAAAACAACTAAACCTATTTAGATATAGTACATGACTAAGTTACAGATTGATAATATTCACTCATTAACTGGTTACGTTTTCGTTATGAAATCTATTATCTTACAATCTGATGTGTTCAGTCCATTGCAGTGATGAGTGAATAGATGAATTTAGGGTTCCATAACGATTATTATGATCGTAATTGTTCATATGGTTTTATTTAGTATTTAACGAATATATAGGATTATTAGTAGTTTCCAACTGACACATGACTGGCTTCCTGTCTTCATTAGTCGTGTTTTAATTGAAACTTATACACGTCTTTGTAAACTCAGTGTTATTTCAAGAGTGTAACTCATAACTACTTTCATGCAGTGTGGTGTCTTATCCACAAAGAACTAATTAGCTGTTTTATTCTACTGTGGAGCTCTTTGCATACTATATCATTTATTCTTTTGTTAACGGAAATATAGCCTTCATGATCCAAAAAATACCATACTGACGTCAAGCCATTGTTAAAAAATACAACGGTTGATATGTTTATCTATCAAAGTAAGTATATATCTATTGTTTATCAATGTTAAAATTAATTTAATAAATTACATAGTAATATTTCTTAACCATATATATGTGCGCCTGTGGTTGGATTTTATAGATATGGAATCATCATGGATCCATTTTCATGGATTCGTTTTCTTTTACAAGCTCAACAGAAATGTGCGGTAATTGGGTTATTTGGTTGTAAGTTCGTTATCGTTTTCTAATCATTATTCGTCGTACACAACGCATTTACTTGTTTTCCATAAAATCGTAAAATAATTTCATGATCTCCTGTCGATCCAAGCGTCATGAGTGACCTTCAGAGAAACTATTAGTCATCTATTCATAAAGATCTTTATTGGAAACTATTAGAAGATTTAATAACGTAGTTATAAATTCACATTTATTTATACTTAGGACTAAAATCATTACTCATACAATAACCCTTATTTTTAATAAACGTGGTTTGGTTAATGAAATATATTTTTCGTAGATGTTTCCAGTTGTAACACTTGTTATGTAAGTGTGGTTTTTCCACTAACACAAAATAAAGCCAGTTTTGTTTGATAATCATCGCTTGCAAGGGCTGACAAGTTTTGCTCGAACACTTCAGATCCTCTAATCAACATGGTGCTATGGAAACCCACTGTTATTCAGATAAAAATCCTAAAGTTTCCTTTTCTGTCAACACAATATCTATTATCAGAAGGGGTTTCGTGGAGATTTAGTAATTTAAACTATTGACCGTATTTATTATTAAATAAATAATATGCCTATGTGACACTAAAGTAAAAACGTTACTCAATTACCCTAGTTGATCACCATCCTGGTTGAATACATTTTAATTGTATGTCCCTGAGTGGCTTAGAGACTTCACAGCTAGACTTAGCAAACTGTTTTCTTAATTTCTACGAGGTCACACTCTGTTTTCTGTTCAGCAATTCAAAAGCTATTACAAAGTTTATGTTCCTAGTTTGATGACTCATTTCATTCCTGTTTTCATTCCAACTTATTTAGTCAGGACACGATGACTTACACGGATGACTGAGAAGTTATTTACTAACGCGTTTCACAAAAAATTTATCCTTTCATTATATAGAATACTTAATTTCAGTGATGGTGCATACCTCAAGGATCCATAGGGAACGCCTTATAGGTAGCAGCAACCAAACAATAAAATGGTTCAAATAGGTTTTCGCTTAAAGCAATCTTGTCTAGCAGTTACATGAAAAATGATTATCTTTCAGTCTGTTTGATGTGACTCCTTTGAATAAAAAAACATATTATTAGCATTTCAACAGATTAAAAATACCTGAGTTTAGCTGATTGTAAAATTTCAGTGGAACTCCCTTATAAACTAAACGACAAACTGTTTTATCACTTATCGTCAATTAAGTATATTTTCGTGTTTTGTTATCACAAAATCTTCAGTCATTTTAAGTTACCAAAATGTCCATTTAGCTACTTGCACTGTTTAAACCATTTCGTTACAGAAAATATTAACTTACGTTACGTGTAAAATTGGTGTGTATTTTTGTATTCAATGAGATTAGTCTGAGCTGTCGTTAGAAAAGTATTTCTGATGTAATATTTCTTAAGTACCAAGACAAGAAATGAACATGCTTTTAATTTTTTTACTTTGATGACAACACATGTGATTTGCTTCGACTATATTCGGTAATATATCCATCAGATTACAAAAAGATTTAAGAAACTTATACATTCATACTGTTCATCCTTTATTAGTGTTTACTCAAACATTGCAAAAGAAGAATGTTTATCTCCTGACTGGAAAACATATTTTGAACAGGCTCATAATACATATTATTTTTAACAGATTACAAAAAGGTGATACTTCTATAAGCCATTCGCTATACGGTTCATAACTGACATTTTAACTCATACTACTGAATTGAAGTTGAACCAGTAATAAATACAGAAGTAATTTGGTTATGTTGAACTGATGCTTCTATGAGTCAAATAAATGGACCCCTCTTCCTAAGATGAGAATAAACAGTGGTCATCACATTAAAGGAACCAATCGTGAAGTTAGTACACCATCTATTCATTCATAAATACAGATGAGAAAGTCACGCTGTAACGTACTGTATTATATAAGAGCCTTTCAGCCCAACACTATGTAATAATTGGGTTTAATTTAGTATTTTTTAATAAGCTATATTAACAAAGACCAAAGAAAACCACTTAATCAGTTACCATTATGAATTCACACTTATTTGGACTCTTTTCTACCTCATTTCACAGTGACTCACAAAATGTTGCTATTTTAAGTTAGAATCACGACTAAAAAGATAGAACTTAACATTTCTTACAGTCCTGATGACATAAAACTGCTCTCTGTCAAGGGGTGTTTGGTCATTTAATTTTTTTTTAATAATAAAAATATGAAGTTGTAACTATGACGGCAAAAGACAAAATCAATTATTTTACATGTTTTTTGGAATACGTATGTTTGAAAACTTTAAGTTTGGTTGATTTATGAATGAATCAGAAATTTCATTTGCATTGAAGAGTTGACAAAGCCAAAGTGACCAGCAAAAATGCAAATATATGTGGGCAAAATATTTTTAAGACAAAGTATAAATGCGTTGATCCCCTGTCTTGTAATTAAGTATAATGACCTGTGACGTTCTCAGATAGCGAAATTCTGTTGTTAACTAAAACTACTTAAAAACCTGATTCACTAAAGCTCTAGTAGGTTATGGCCAAGCATTGATAACAGTTTTCAGCCAACAAGTAAAGCAAACCTTGAATTTTTTTTACATCTACTGACTAATGTTAAAAATGACTACTAGCTCGTGTATACATATCATCAAGACTTTGTTAGGTTCCACTACACTTATCTACACTGATAAAATGACAGTTGATACAGTCAAGAATTTACCAAATAGTTGAAATATTTCAGCACAACCAGTTTTATATTTGCTAATTATGAGGATGATGTACCTAGCATGGTTTTTACACTAAGCCTCTAATCAGTACAAACTCATAAGAGTTTTAATCGTTTCGAAAAAGGTATTTATCTTCCAAATTTATTCATTCTTCGATCTCCATATTTTCTAAAGATTTCTTTTAATCTCAAATAAAAACGAGGCATTCTACCCTTAAAAACTACTTCAATATGCATTATCGTACATCTCAAAAGGTAACTTTTTCCCGTAACTGTGGTTACACCTTTTCTAAATATAATACTTCACCCATCTTTTAGTGGGACTGGTTTTGCCAGAATTCATAATAATAATAATAATAATAATAATAATAATAATAATAATAATAATAATAATAATAATAGAGCAGAGTACATTTCTGTCAGTGTTATAGATCATACCAAACTCAAAATCACATTGGTTCAAGAATGGTATTCTTTGTTCATAAGGTCAGATTATACATAAGTAAGAAAATAAAAATTGGGGACGAATTTAAAGGAACATCAAAAACAAAATTAGGGTAAACAAGTAATCAATATGAGATGTATCATCTTATGCGTTCTTGCATTTCTGACCTTCCAAATAATTTCTAGTCAAGAAATCTGTATTTCAAGTACACCCACATGATAACCTTGAACAATTTATGTACGACCTCACCCATAGTTCTGTTTCCTCATTGGTGCTGCTTAAAACTGTTGACTCTGAATGAAAATATGAGAAATTCTGATGATTGATTGTTTATGATGTATACGATTATTTTTTTGAACATCAAGCTCTGATTGTTAAAAATAATGATTAGCATCTCCAACAGTTTTTCACCACCCAGATAAGTTCACAAGATACGAAAGAGTAAACTTCAGAAATATCTATATTCACTTACAGAATCTTGAGGTCAAACTATCCAGTCTGACATAAATCAGCATCATTACCATCACTGGTTTAACTCAAAGCACCATAGACTAACAGACAATTTCAAACGAAGTAAATCAATAGTCCCTATTATTAGTTTAAGGTCACCACATGAATGTAGGCTAACCAACTGGTTTTGTCCTTTATTGTCCTATGGAAGACTATTGGATGAAATTATTGATCAGTATAGATGTAACTTGGCTTTTTGTATTCAGGCTTACTTGCATATAAAAAAATTAAATCGAAGCAAATTACCAGAAATGTAATTATCCACACTGAGTAGGCCCCTTATTGGGTGAAGAAATTCGTTGCATAAAAATAGATAATTCAATTTGTAAATGATTATGTATGTTTACACGTCGGAGCAAAAAAGAAATATGTGAAGGAAATCTCAAAGTGCTCCTTAGAATTTCTGTTGATTTTATGTACACGATTATTTTTGTAGGGAATAATAATGATAATGAAATTGTACGGTTAATAAAATTCAACATTTGTATGACACGTTGTACTTAGACAATAAAGTCGAATGCCTCAAACTATAAGACTCAAAGAATTTTGATCTATTATCATATGTGACGGTCAGCAAATAGCCTGAGTCCATAATTCAGTTTTTTTTAATTGACTTAGTTATTTAAAAATTTTTAATGTAGTCTAGTGCAATGTCATTGATTCAGACTCAATATTAAAGTACTGAAGTTTTAAAAATGCACAGATCTGTACATTCTAAATCAATAAGAACCGTCGTGTTTCATCATAATTGAATTTTATTTTATGAACTTCAAAGTCCATGTCAATATTTCTTACAAATAAATCATCAAGCTGAGGAATTATTGAGATTTTCATTGAATATCACTACATTTTTAGTGTGAGAGTGCCGTGACTTGATGCAATATACTACATATCCACATAATTAGTGGGGAAGAAATACAATAATAATCAAATGCATCTAGTGTAAATGGTTTGATTATCTCATCTACATTTGTCCAATTACATAGATTTTGAATAGTTGAAATCCCCAAGCAGTATTTTCTAATCATATTGATCTCGTTTGTTAAACACGAAGACCAGTATAGATGGCAGTATTCTGTGAAATATTTCACCTTGGAAACTTGTCATTTTATTTATTTGATGCACATAAACCTAACAGATAGTTATAGTTAGGAATTACTTTTTCGTAAGCCTACAGCATTTCATGACACACTTAGGCTGTATGAAAGCTGATGTTTAACTTGCTTCTCAAGTTGACTAAATATTTTGATACCAATCGTTATTTGACAGTTGAGAGCAATTATTTGCATGAAACAATCTTGAATTTTATCAAAGTCCCGTTGATGATTAACTTGAAATTATTTGAATAAAATCACGGGCATGGACAAATTACCGTGCTCTAATTCGCAAATGAAAAACAAGCTTTTATTTCCGTTTAACAGCAAGTTTAGATGTTATAAATCCCACTACATTAATACCATACTATATTTTTAAGTAATAACAAGCACTTATATCCAAAATCTGTAACATGTTTGCTTTTTTTTTCTCCCAGCTCAACATTCACGGCTTAGTGTATGTGAAAGCAAGGATTACAATAGTATTAGCTCAGACCCAGTTGAATTAGAAGTAAATGTATTGGTACACGATGAAACTTGTATGAAATTTAGTCGTAATTTATACGTTACTTATCCAAATAACTTAACACTATGGGACATATACTATTTCATCCTTTCACCAACATTGTGCTACGAATTAAACTTCCCGCGCACAATGACAATAAGGAAACAGTTTCTGTTCAAACGTATCTTCGAATTGGTAAGTTAATATGATGAAAGTGTATATTCACAAATATGCTATTTTATTGGCTTGACTTTCACTTCCACAGTCAACAGAAAGATCGAAACACTTTCATCTTGAATTCTTTCAAATAAAGATTATGTTGACACAAATCTTGTTTCATCGTTTCTGGAACCCGTACTCATAGAAAATGTTCAGATTTGCGTTATTCTATTTCTTATCATATGTAATTTAACAACACCATATTCCAAGACTTTACTGATAACCTATTCAGTTTTTGGTTATCCATACAGGAAACTTTACAATGACAGATTTTTAGCCACAAAAGTAAATTTTAGGCTACTGAATTGATTAGTGTGTAACGTTCGATTATTTGCTTCAGAAAAAAAAACACTGTGCTATTTGTGTCAAATACTGAATAGATTGATTTAAACATAATTGTAACTGGCTTTTATGATCGAAAATTTTGAATTCCACGTCAAAAATATTTTTTATCGAGAAGCACTTTGAATTCATGTAGAATTATCACTAAATCAGACAATTATGAAGCAACAACATCGAGTAAAAACATATTATCATTAGTCTAATGTTAGGTGGTTGTCAATAGGGAACTTTGGATATAGTTTTCGTGCTAGTTGGCACTCTTCAACTATGCTTACCTGCACTCTTGAGGAAACTTATGTTTCCAGTGAGACGCCATCCCATTACACCCAGATTCATGGTTTGAGACGCTGCAATTTGGACATTCACGAAGCAACTGACCTCCCATAAGAATGAAATATTAACATTGATTGATCAGTGAGTATAAATCCATATCACGAGTATGAGTTATGTCAAAAGTAACAATCATAAATATAGTTATCTTGATAAGCTACGGTGAGGAATTCCTGAATGATTCAATACATAATTATGAATAATTAACCAACCGAAGTTTAGCAAGCGTCCGATGTCATTAGTCGGAGTTGAAAACAAAATAGAAATACAAGCAGAATCAGAAAAAATATTATCACTTGTTTCAAGTAAGAAAAATGAATATTTGAGAAAAAAGTAACTAACAAATATGTTACATTCAGCTTATATGAAAAACCTGAGTTAAAATGTTCACAGAGAGTTTCACTGGTTCATTGCACTATTGAATTTTTTGAACCTAAAACTGATAGAATGCAGATAGGTAAGTGAACTTGCAAACTTCATCTTTACATAAAGTTTTAACTGCATTATTTTGAGAACCATGTGTTTAACAGCTATCAGAAGGTAAATCTCCATCAACTACGGCAGACGAGCCTATATTTCTAGAATTTCTGAAAATACCCCGCGTTTCTATTGTTTTCCAACCGTCCATTAAATGGAACCATACAGAAGTCAAGACAATTCTAAGATTTTCTTTCATAATCCACATCAGGAGATATTATTTGAATAAGAAAAAAGAATCCAGAGAAGAAAATTTTCTTTTCAATGAAATCATTTACTTAAGCTGTACATTCGTATATATAGTTATATGGTTTTTTACAGAGATTTATATATAAAAATCTACCAGGAATGGACAGTACACGAAATTCCATAGTTGGGATCCATTAAGTAGAAAGAAGAACTTAATTCACTCTTTATCCTCTAGGATCGAACGAATCTGTTCCACTGACAAAATACTTGAGGAACCATTTCAACATCGACAGACTTTCGTCAGAAATGGTTATCCACCTAGATTCATCAATAGCAACTTAACACCTAGACTTCATCTTGAAAAAGCATCGACAGTACAGAAGAAAACGTTTATGAATATGGAATTTAAAGGAGACACGGCTGCTGAAATCTTAAATAAACGGATTTCAAAATCGTTGGATAAAACGTTCTATTCAGCTATGCTCCGAATCGTTTTCTCAAGCCAACCTACCATTCTTGGATGTGTTAAGGATAAAATTCCGTTATGGGTCACATCAATGTGTATCCATAAATTTGCTTGCTCATGTGGGGTAGCTTACATAGGCCGCACAAAGCGATCACTTTACAAACGCATCTCAGAACACTATCCGGCTTGGCTTTTAAAAGGTGAATGTAAAGCAATTACTAGTTATGTATAGGAGCATTTAATCAACTATGGACACATCGCTCCAAAGGATTCCTTTTTTAAAGCAATCTACAGAGTCAAAGGAATTAGATCGAAGGGATGTCGAATCAATATTTTATGCACCGCAGAGGGATCGGCGATCCACAAACTCAAACCTGAACTTTGCATGCAGAAACGATTTGTCCAACCTCTCATCCTTCCTTGGCCCTAATTCCCGGAATGGGTATGTTTCTGGATAATTTTTTGTTTCCTTTTGCACTTTTATTTGATTATTATCGAATTTTTAAAATTACTATTTTGCAATTTTAAACTCTAATCATTTATTATTATTATTACCTTATACAAGTTTTCTTGATTATGACCTTTATGTTTGTGGTTTTTTCTTCATATCTGTTAATTGGACTATTATCTGACCCATAAACGATTTTCTTCCTTACCCATTGATAAGTACGTAACCTCATTTGTTATGTATCCTCGAATCCATTTTGATGATGCAATTTTTTCTATCCTCCTATAGACATACATTTTTCATATACCTATATATACGAATGTACAGCTTAAGTAAATGATTTCGTCGAAAAGAAAATTTTCTTTGTTGAATTCTTTTTTTCTTATTCAATGACACTATGGGTTATTTTAATTATCTAGATATTATTTGGTGTCAATGTTGTGCATTTTGGGTGGCCAACTCCATAGAATAGCTAGAGGAAATGTGAAAGACAAGTTGGTCTAGTTTTAGTTGAGCAATCAAATAATAATGAGTCCGAAACACATGATAGTAAAGCTTCTAAACTATAATTTTTACTCATTAGCATACTTTTTTGACTATACTTGTCAATAAATGTTTCAGCTTAAATTTCTTTCAATAGATATTCATTCCCCAACTTATACTCTGCTTGATTCAACAATGGATTCTACCTATACTGTCAAACAGTTACGTTCCATTCACAGAATCAAGATTTAGCTTGATTGTTGAACGTTGTTTGAAATTGGCTATACCAAATCATCTCATATGGTTACTGTTTTTCTACCTTGTATTTCATTCCCTATTAAATGTAATCGGAGAGATTTTATACTTTGGTGATCGATTCTTTTACAGCGATTGGTGGTAAGTTCATGATACTGTATTTCTTCAAGTCTATATATATTGTATTTAGTTTAAGACCATGATAATACCAGTTTGTTGATTAAGCCACCTGAGATTTGATGTGAATAATCATTACACAGTTCGTTTATGACTCATTTTGAAGAGTGAATTCCTCTAGTTCTGACGAGTAACCGTGACATTTGCAAAAAATAAAGTCATCAATAATTCTGAGTATTTATTCAGAAGACTAAGATTTTATACAACCCGATATTTTGATAAGTTAAGAAAACGAGAATGAGATTTGTAGCATAAAATGAATTTGTTTTATTTTGAGGCTTCACAATAGCGCCGAATGGTGTAAAGCTGCAATTCATTGTATTATTATAGACACAGTTTTACATCACGTACCCAGTAAAGTTGAGTTCAAATTGGCACAATATATCATAAAACAGTGAGAAAGCACAAAACTTTCTAGCGTGGTAGTTATGATCGATTAGTATTTATGTTAAAGATAAAGTCATAAGAAAAAAAAGGGTGATCTCATGAATATGAATTGAGACAAAATGGAAAAATTTTCCAATGGCTGATAATACGTTCAGTCCTCTAAGTTGATATAAAATTAAATTCACGGATAAATATCAGTATTTCGTTTGAAATATGAAACAGAGATTATGTAAAGTAAGTTTCATAATTAGAATTAATTGAGAATAAAAATGAGAGGTTCACCACAATTTCCTTATATTTGAAAGTTGAAGTTTAAAGAGTTTGATGGTAATGATCTCCACAAAGAAGACTAAAAGTACCATCTACTGTTTGTTAATTACGTTTAATGTCTTGACGATGTTCGCATTTCATTCAATATCCATTGCGTATTTAGTAATAGAACTTGTGAACACTTTGAAACACAGGTAGCAAAAATCTCTACAAAATAACCCATCAATGTTACTTTGTTTTGAGTAGTTCGTGTAGTACCAGCTTGTAGTGAAAGCTTATTTTGGGCATATCTAAGATTTCACCCACTTATCTCTTTCCACTAATTTCAAACTATCAAGAAGAAGAATTTTCGCTAAACCAACATTTTTCAGTTAATGTATAGTATTTACTTAGTTGTCTCACAAGAATTTCAATATCAGGTGGTCTTTTTACTTAGAAACGTAGTTTCAAAGTAAAATGGATAAACCAGTTTTTAAAAATGACAACCGACAAGCAGCGTACTTCAAAGCTGTAAAATAACAGGCTTCTGAAATTTATATGGTATAAATGGTTTTTGAAATTCTTCGAGATCGAGTAAATTTTATATCTCTACCTATAATGCAGGGGGATTTTTGTTAATGATTATCTAAAGTGTAATAAAATATAAACGTTTTTCACCGTAAAATTACGTTAACACATTCAGAATCGAAGTGGCGATATTCAGTTTTGTAATTTTCTATCCAACACATTTCTCAGCTTTTGCCTCCATAACTAAAACAAACATAGCAGCTGCACAGTGTAAAACTGTCGAATTAAGAAATCATTATTGTCCTCGAATCAGTATTTTGTTAGCAAATTTATAGACAGAAAGCAGTGAATTCTAATTAAAATCACGTTGTAACCAAATATACTGTTCAAATATGTACTTGATCTACCCCCACAACTTGATGAATCTTTTCGTTTTCTGGTGTGTAAAATCCATGTATGAAGAATTTCGGCACAACAAACACAAAAAATATATCAGAAGGAAGCTTTTGTAGATATTATAGTAATTCCAATAGTTGAGATCATGGGCCATTTGAAGTTAGACCACCATGGAGAATCTGGAGGCATTAGACGGCCGTTTCGTCCTATTGTGAGACTCCTCAATGGTGCGCATCCAAGATCCCGCCTCGCGCGATACAAACCTAGGACCTAATGGTCTCGCTCGCGAACGCTTCCTTCTTCTGAAGCTTTCCCAGCTGTGGTTGCTAACCCTTTCTTGTATTTCTATTTATCAGCCCTAGTGCTCCTCATTTCTTGCTTGTTTGCTTGTGACTTGAATTTCTCTGTTCTTGTTCAAATGATGTTAATTGCTGTCCAGTGAGGATGAACTAACATCTTAGAACTTATCAGTATTATTCATATACATCACAGAATATCATTAATAATGTTTGATCGAAGTTATATTTCTATTTAAACTTTATAGTATTTGTTCCTTTTTTCTTATGTTTGATCTCATAAAATATTATTTTTCCATTCATGCAGGAATGCGGAATCTGTACCAGCGTTTTGGTCAAAATGGAATATTCCTGTCCATCGTTTCGCTAGACGGTAAGTTATATTAGTAACTTTCATAATTGACTATAAATTATTGAAGCAGTTGTTATTTTAATGAGTTCTGATCTTATTGTTTTGGGAAACGTAGAATAATATAGAAATTAGAACAATTTGATGGCTTATACACATGTAATATTTATTCAGCTATGTAATTTTATCGACTACTCAAATGGTAGATCAGATTTAAATGGATCATACAATCGATATCAACAACTTTTCGATGCACTCCATTTTGTTCCGTGTAACAGTTTAAAGTACTGCAAAGCAACAGAGAATCGACAAAACGCACACATTTACAAGAATGTAAATGCTTGTGGAAAATAAAATCTACTCACTAATCCTAAACTACGGCTCTATTGTTCTTATCTCGTTCAAAACCAAACACTTTCGTTTGTCAAACTCACTAACTAGTTATAGGTATGTTTTTTGTTGTGACTCACAAGTTTATGGGATAACTAATGATAGCATCAATATACTCAAACTAAAGTAGGTTGAGCGTGGCCTAAAACTACAATCTAATGTTTGAAATGTTAGTGCTTTGACAATTAATCTACTGCTTTGCATGCTTCAACTAAAAATATGTGTTCAGAAATTCAAGACATTTCAGCCTTTATTAACAATAATAATTTCTGTTGTATGCAAGTCATCTGTATAGTTATAATGGAAAACACAATAGCACCGAGTAACATTTGTTTTTACCGAGCCAATACAACTCAGGTGATATTCAAATGGAAATCGAATAATAGTAAGGTCAACCAGTAATCAGTTCATAAACGGATCAAAATGTAATTCATCAATTATTAAGAGAAAGATCATATTCATGCGATATTAAATCAGTTATCACCATAATAATTAATAGCACTTCTATTCATAATGATAACATCAATCATGAGAAGTTATTGTTATTCAAGAGTATGAAGGCTTGTTATTTATGGAGATGTGAAAATTCATCTGTTAATTTTATTCTAGTTTCTTTCTTATTTAAAAAATTTATCTTTGAAACTGAAAAGGTCATGTTTGTGAGGTGCATTATTGTTGGTAAGTCGTAAAACTCGATGCCAGGTTAAGCCGTTTAAGTGACATTAATTTTTTCCATGCTTATAAATAGGTTGTTTGTTCAGTGTGAAATTAGACTTGAAACCATTATTCATTACTAGGTTCGTGTACATCCTCGTTAACTTTAAAAATGAATGGTATGATTCGTGTGACCCTAATTTTTAACACATGCACATGCTTCAGTCAAAGTGATCTGCTAAAATTTTTATCCACATGTCGAACAATGCCTGAATTCTATAATTATTTACTAGTAATGGTTTTGTTTCGTTAAGCGACTTTCCACTCATCCATTACTTATTGGTAAAAATGAGTCCAACGATCGAAGGTGAGCATAGTCCATGGGCTGGTTATGGTGTTCATCGTAACGGTGATGTCAGTCATTGGTTATGATCTCTAGTGATGTTACCTTAAATGTAACTGAAAATAAGACTTTAAAGAATAATCCTTAAACTTATCAGCATTATGTATTTCCGGTTTAACAGTATGTTGACTCGAAAGCATGTTTAATTCCTGAGTAACTTACACAGAACATTGTACAGTGAAGGGACTACTAGTTTAAATTACGTTCATCAGAAGCTATTCCATCTTATCTTTACAATTTCAGTTTAGGATATTTTATTTTAAACGAGAATGGTATTTCGATGTAGATATTTATTTAATGTCTAGGTGACTATTTTAATCCTACTTTCCAGAAAGTTTGGTTTCTTTCACCATAACACATTAAAATTTGAAGTACATAGTTAAAAATTACCCATCAAAACCAGATCTCAGTTCAAATGAACCTGTGTATATAGTGTGACTTTATCCGTAGGTAGTTTGACGTTCACTTCAGAGTATTTTATACTTAAATTTTATGGTGTAAAATTTCTTCTCTTTTAAAACTTTAGGCATATATACATACCCCTTTTACGGTCAGGGTTCAGCCGCTTCCAAGCTGGTTTAGTTGTTTTCATGATTAGTGCATTTTTTCATGAAATACTTGTTTCAATCCCATTGAAAATGCTACGATTCTGGGCCTTCTTTGGTATGCTAAGCCAAGTACCATATGCCTACATAGTTTCACGCTTATTCCCTAGTGGTGGTCAAGGTGGTAACTTAGCTGTGTGGCTTACGTTAATAATTGGTCAACCATTAGCTATTCTCGCTTATTTCCATGACTATTTTATAATACATTATAATGTTGGTGGAATGTAAACAGCTATAGTCAATAAGTCAGTAAACGAGATTTTTTATTGTTTGGTTTTTCGTGATATCATTTCCTTACTCGTTGTACAGTGAAGATTTATCGATTTAATTAGATATTTACACTTAACTAATATTGTTTTTCTGATTATTAATTAATGAGGTAGTCATTTTTAATGTTGAGTAGTTTGTCGATTGATAACTGTTAAATTTATAAAAGTGATTGTATGGATATTCATTATTCTATCTATGCAATTCGGCTTTCTTGCCTAACTTTTTTTTGCTTATCATTTCTTCTAATTCTCAGTGTTTTCTTTATTCTTCTGTACAAGTATTATTAAAGCAACAATGAAGTCTTGTTATTAATCTAATTTTTTTTCCTCTATTCTCATCATTGTAATTTGATTTCCATTTCAACTGAATTCTTACTTTTGATGTAATTACGATCATATTGTCGGTTCAATGTGCTTAATTGATTCATCATATGTGTAATTGTTAACTATTTATAAATATGTGCAAGATTTTGTTAGACATAATCTCCAGTTTCATTTTTAACACATTGAAGTTTGTGAACAAAATGTTCATAGTTGTAAGTTGAATTTATGGCATCAGTGCTTTCAGATACGAAAGATAGAGAAGTAAAAACGTTTTTCATTCCATTTAGAACTATCTGAAATGCTTGTAAGAACTTTCGTTTTAATTCGAACGGTCAGTTTCAGAGTAATTGGGTCCCTAGTTAATGTGAGACATTAAAAAGAAAATCATATTTGTAAAAATTCTCATTGATTAAAGTTAAAATAAATCCAAATGTTTCGCTCGACATTCTAGTTCAAGCTTTTTCAAGGGGAATAATCAAACATCAAATTATCGAATATCAATATATGATTCTTGAATTAACTGTGTACGAAATCCTCCAGTCATGTTAACAATTCTGAATGAGGAATTTGTTGTAGTGATGGTATAAGTTATTTAGTGTGTGAAGGGGAATCTTGATAAGATAAGAAGTGTAGTTGTATGTAGACATGATGAAAAAAAATAATTGGATATGTATGGCATCAGGGTGTGAAGTTATTTATCCGTCTTTTATTCTTGGATAAAAGTGCGATATCAGGGATTTTCGGACATTTTTCGTCCTTTTGGTGAGATTATTGATGTATGTCACACCATAATTTTCACTGGGGATTTTTTGTTCATCATTTAAAGTTATTTGCATGTGCCTTCCAATGAACTCGTCTCTGTAGAGCATCCAAGCTTGCCGATGAAGGAAGCAAAAAAAGTGAGAGTTCGAGCTTGAAATGAGATTTTTAGTGAAATTCTCTTCTTATTTATGGAACTGGACCACTGACTTACTTGGAAAATCTCTGAAAATGCTTAATACCACACACATATTGAAAATTAAAAAAAAATCTATACCCTACAAATTCACAGACAGGTATTCTATCTCGACTTCAAGTGACATTTGTTGATTTAACTGGGCAATCCGATATATATTATAGTGAATAAAATTTATCATAGCAAATATAGAATGAAAATAAACAAACGAATAATTATAAATCGTTGTCCTAAACTAGCTAGTTGTTCATCGCATCTCCAAAAAACTAACTGAATACAACAAATTAGAAGTAGTAACATGAAGTACAAATTTATTAAATATTACCTGCTATGGTACAGCTAATTTTATGCCATCCCTGATTCATATTGTTTGAGTTTACCCACATATGTAGGACTTCACCTGTCAATTTTTCTTTTTACGAACTAAAACCGTTTTGAAAGATTCCTGTTACATTGATGTCAACTGTATGTTCAGATTGTATTGAATGTATTGCCGACTTGTTTTATAGTTATTTTGAAGTCTTCTGATGATTTGAGAATATGCTTCAAGTAAATCTTTCTCTTTGTTCATCGAGAGTGAAATTGTGTCAATGTTATTGTAAAGTTTAATAACGTTCTATTTTCAGTTCTTACCATTTGTTTAAATTTTGAAGCTAATTAAAACTTAACAATTCGCTCACTTTTATTTTGACATATTTTGAAGACTTTAAAATAAGATACAATAACTTACATTGGTTTATGTATAATATTGATGAACACCTCAGTAATGGTTAAATATATGCCATAAAATCTGTTCATACATATCGAACATTCAAATTAATGCATTCTACATTCAACCTTTCATAAAACTAAATATTCGTTTCTAATATTTCGCAAGTACGGAAACTGATTCTATTGTTATTTATTTTTGCAGAAAATGAATAAATCTATTGAGAAGTGGAACTTACTCTACTATCTAATAACCTATAAAACTAAGTTATAAATTTCATACACTAAATGCTTTATAGGTATCATTACCAAGGTTTGACTTGATAATTTCGAATAAATTGAACATTGGGTGGATTGTTATCAATAAATTAATATATTTGTAATATCCCAATGAATAGAAAAATTAAATTTTCTTATATTTCCTGACTCAGTGTAAGCCACTTCTTTGTGAGTAATCATAATTTATAGGTACGTAAGTCATCCATGAAGAGAATTTCTGTAAACTTTCAGTAAAATAAAACATTTGTCTATAGAAATTTCAGGTGAAGACTACGGAAACCATGGTGAATTATTATAATATACAATATACATATCGGTATGCTAAAACCAAATTGTCATTATTCATTGCGAAAATTAGGTTGAAACGAATATATCTAGCCTTGCTAGTTGGCTATTACAAGCAAACAGTTATCACAGAATACACAACTCCTGGCTGTATAAACGACAAACAATTTGACTCCCCAATAAGTATTTTACTTTTTCAGCTAAGATTATTGCCGATATTGATGTTATGAAAAAGGCATTTTTGACTGTTAAATGCTAATTGTTTTGGATAACTTTGCCTCACACCTCACAAGGAACAAGAAAATGGTAATTAGCTTTAAAATTACTGATTTTTATTGACGAATGATAGTTTTCCACTGAGAAAATAAGTGTAGGAGAAATAATTCCAGGGAAATATTTTCGCGAAAATGAATTAGGTTTCAGAGTTCGTTTTCTGTATTAATTGTACGTTTTATGGAGTATACTGTATAGACCCTACTTTTCGTTTGATTGAGATTAATTAAGTCAAATAGGTTTTAATGGCAATTTTATTAGGGTCAATGAAATTTTCATAACATCTTAGATTTCGACCGGTTTATTGATTACCTTTATTCTCTAACATTATTTGATTTTTATATTAGTTATCGACCATTTATCTAATAGAAAGGTCACAGTAAGCACTTTTGGCAGAGAGGATATGTAAAAAATTAAGCGGGAAGTATCGATTAAGATAAATAAATTTAAGAACATAATTTAACTAAATTTTTCTCCTAACGATTACTTCACTAAAGCTGTACGAACAGAAGTTTATAAATAAAACAAATAATTATTATCAAAAGTATAATTTTATTTGTGGTTGATAAAATCTAGAAATGAATTTCTTTGCTCAACAATTCTCTCTTGTTTTAGATACAAATTAATCAACTTTTCGCATTGTTTCATTACTCTATTATACTATATAATTCTGGCATTATTTTTAACTGTATTGCACAACCAATGTACACATACAAACAATCTTTCATGGTGTATATTTCTATTTTTCGGAATCTCACGATGAATACATTTTTTAGAGACCAGCTTCATGGAATATGAGTGACATTGAAAGAAAGCTACTAATCTATTGCGTTTTGTTAAGTCATTAACACCCATTAGACAATACCTAAAAATAGTCAAACTACAAGTTTGTGCAAAACAGTAAATTTAAGTAAAATAAAAGCTGTTGGGCTTAAGATGTGAAAGCAAGTAGCATAGTTAACTGTATAGTAGCATAGTTAAATAGCCGCTTATCTGCAGATAGTTAAGAATAGCTATTGAATTATTAAGTCCAAGGTCTGTGTGTACCTATACATTACTGACCTTTTAGTTTTTCAGTAATTCTGATAGTTACCAGCAATACTGTACATTATTATATTATTACTCTAACCAGATGATTACACCACGCTCCAGCAGTTCTTATAATAGCACAAAAACTAAGCATACTTGGAGTAAGCAAGCAAGAAAACATGTTGACTTCTAAAAAGAAGATCTGGTATGTATTATAGTTCAGTCTCTTCTAAGCAATACTACAATAAGTGAATATGCAGGATCTTATAATGATTATGTTATCAAGTCTAGGTTGTTTAATAAATCGCTGTCATTTAATGGTTATAATGACAGTGAAATGCTCTCATAATCATCATTACAAGTAAGTACCTATTTTCGTCCATCTAATACGCTTTTTATTTCTAATTCAGTTTCAAATAGTCATGCAGGTAAAGTAATTGAGGATGATGAGACAATAATAACTTAGATATTTCGTCACATATGTTCGGAAATATCGTGAATTCGGTAAAATTATGATGCAGAAAAATGCTTTTTGTCACCATTTAATACCCAATATTTTCGTCAAGTGCTGGTATAAACCGACTGATTTCTTTCCACTTGCTTTTTTTTGTTTTGTTAAGGCTCCAGATATTTGGTAGTAATGATGATGACAATAATAGTAATAATGATAATTCATCCTCAAAACATATAGGTGACCTGAGGCATGCTAATCTACAGGCAAGATCAAATGTCCAGTAGATCAAAAACGATAATGTTGAACTCATTAAATGCTCATTTCTGTATCCGGAAAATGTATATAATTAGTAAATCGACACTACCCAAATCCTAACCCTAAACTCAACCCTGAAACAAACATGTGGTGTATGTTAGCATTAAACACAAAGCAAATATAATGTTGATTGCAACCCAGTAATCAGTCAGTGTAGAAATGTTTCCTAATAATTGCATAAACTTAAATGTTGGGATTTTATCACCGGTGTTAAGTAACAGAGCCAACAGCCCCACTGATAACATAAAAGTTGGCTACTGTATTGTTTTAGTACGAATGTATTTGAATGCCTCCAAGGTATTTTATTAGCTTTCTTGTTTGGGGGAAAACAGTTGTAGTTCTAGATTATAAGTTTTACTTTGCATGATTAACCGGGTATTTTAATGTGAAGTTTCACAATAATTTGTTCGAGCAAATAGTCATTAACAACCTCAGATTATTTATGAAAAATTTATAGATTACACAATCAAGATTCTTGCTTCAGTCTTTTTCTGAATGCGCTAATTTCAGTAGATCGAAATTAGGAATCAGGTTTCTGGAAAAGATTTTACAGATAAACGAGATTTGACCAAATGATACTTGATGTTTTCAAACACACAGATTAGACACCATATAAAATATTCATATTTCTCAGATTTGTTATGAAATCTTATTCTATGCAAATTTGTAATGTTTATATTGCGGTCAACCAACTACTAAGTTTAATCAAATTTTTACTGGATCATTATTGTTATTATGAGGAAAGTTGTGCAGCTATTTTGGATTTTGGAGATCCTCCAAGCTGACGTTTGGTTGGTAATTGTTCCTATTCTTGTGGGAATATGAAAGACGATCCAATGAGGAACTGAAAAGCAATTTCTAAAGGTGGGAACACGTTTGGTGGGTGTTTATCGTGTGATTAACTCCATTCATTATATTTATGTATATTTCATCACGCTAAGTGCTTCAAGTATGCCAGGATCGGAAACATCACGTCGATGTGCGGAATAACTCTCTATTTCCACACCAGAAACAATAGACCCTGCAATTAGGACCTTATTAAGTTGTGTTCTTAATGATCACACTTTTTTTTCCTACAAAATCTTTAGATTCTGACGTTACATTACGACCTACTGAAGTTTCAGTGTTGAAGATTACAGGGCATAAACTGTCTGCGCGATGATTTTTTGTGGTTAATTAGAGATGACAATTCTCCATACATGCCATGTAAGTCTTTGTTAAGTGGAACAGAACCGTCAGCACTAGGTTTGAGGAATTTAAAAAGGTTTGAAGTGGAGTTGTCTTTATTAACTTCCAAAGAAGATCCTGATGCTTTACTTAAATATTTAACAGTCGCATGTGTCAAGTGCAGTGGGGTGTTGAGACTTCAGGCTACAGATTTTCAGCTACAATGTGAAACTTAGAATATCTTGCGACTTAAATTTATGTTTAACTCCTTTTTGTTGGAGCATCATTTCGGAAGCTGAAAACGTTCTCAACCTAGTTCATGCCTCTAAAATATTCTTGAATGTTGACTCAAATGATGCTTTCTTTCAGATTCCTTTAAGTCAATCTTCATTCACTTTGACAACGATCAACAGTCCATTTTTTATTTCAAGAAAAGTTAAGTAATGTAGTCAGTTATCGTTGAACTGTTGCAGCTTACCAAAACGATCTTATTATTTATGGTCTTGATAAGTTTGCTCATTATCAGAGATTCCTTGCGCTTTTGCGTTTTCCACTTGAGAATAATTTCACCGTGAATCCAAATAAGTGTTCGTTTTCTGTATCTAGATTTGAATGGCTTGAATATCTAGTTGATGGCTATGGTTTTAGACCAGACATGAAGCGAATAGCATCACTTAAAAATTCATCACTGTGGTGTTTGAACGAACTAATGATACTATGGTACTGGTTGATTGTACAATTTCGAATTTCAAATACAGTACATTCGGTTGTGCCTGTGTCTTCTTAATTCAATTGCATTATTTCTTGGACTCTTAGTTCGTGCTATAATTCAAATAATTCGAAACATTATACTGGCGTCGTGATGGAACCTGCAATGGAAAAGTTGGATATTCATTCAACTTCGGAAGCATTTGAGGATTATTTGGAAAGGTTTGAATTCTGGGGCATGACTAAGAAAGATGTCAAAGGTGATAAAATCGTGGTACATTTCCTGACATTCATTGGGAGAGAAGCTTACAGCTTATTAAAAACTTTGGCATATCCAGAAAAAACCTATCTCACTTCCTTATGCAACTCTTAAGGAGCTATTACTAAATCATGTAAAATGCACCAGTTTTAAATGCCATGAAAGGGCGAAATTTCATAATATCAAAAAGTTCGGGAATTCATCCTTGAATTGCAGAAACAAGCTGCCAAGTGTAATTTCGGTGATCAACTTCATGTACAACTGTGAGATCGATTAATTGCAGGAATTAACATACCGAGTTTGGAAAGAGAGCTGTTAATAATGCAAAGCTGTTCTTTTCAAGATGCTAGAACTGGGTGCATTAACTATGAAGCTGTGAATGAATTAGATATTCAGTCGATGAAGATTTCTAATACTTTGCTGAGTCGTCCTGATGAACTACAATCTCAGGGTCAGTCTTCAGTAATAAGGATAGGAGGTCAATCGAACTTGCGTTCATTTAACGGTGATTCTTATTCTCGTGTAAATATGAAAGGTTTTTCAACAAGGGATTACAAAGCAAATCACAAAGGTGAGATGAAGTTTGGTAAATGTTTATCATGTGGAAAGTTTCATCCTCGTAATTCATGTGCATTTCGTAATGCTAAATGTTTTAAATGTGGTAAGATAGGACACATTCATTCAGTATACAAAGCTACTGTCCATTTTGCTTCAAGTAGTACTAAATCTTGTCATTTAAATCTCAATAATTCGGATGTTTCTAGCGATCATTTATCTTTGTCTACTATTTCGAAAGGTAATGCTCATATTCAAAAGCGACTATATACATCGCTTGGTTCATTTCATGACTTTATTGTGGACACAGACAGTATAGAGTCCATTATTTCATTCAAGAACTTGAAATTCTTAGATCCTAACGTTGTGGTACAACCCACTGAAGTATCAGTATTGGGGATTACTGGACACAGACTGCCCATACGATGATGCTGTGAATTGCTAATAAGAGATGATAATTCTTCATACATACCTTGTGAATTTTTAGTTAGCAAAACAGGACTGTCAATATTAGGTTTAAAGAATTTGAAAAGGCTTAAAGTGGAGTTGTCCATCCTAGTTTCTAAGGAGAATTCTGATACTTTACTTAAAAATTTGATAGCTAGGTGTGCTAAGTGCAGTGGGGGTATGAAAATTCAGCCTATAAAACTTCAAGTACAGGGTGATCCAGTTTTCCTTAAAAGACGAATAATTCCTTATGGTCTTCGAGAAGCAGTACGTAAGACATTAAACGATTTGTGTGCGAAAGGCAAAATTGAACCAATTCAGTCTTCAGCATGGGGTACTCCTATCGCTACGCCACTGAAGTCGGACGGCAAGACCCCTAGAATTTGTGGTGACTATAGATTAACTCTGAATTCCCGTTTGTTGAAGCAAACGTGCACGACGGTGGAGGCTGAAGATATTCTAAATCGACTTCATGGTTCTAAAGTGTTCTCGAAAGTTGACCTAAAAGATGCTTATCTTCAAATTCCTTTAGATCAATCTTCATCTATTTTGACGACAATTAACACTCCTTTTGGTCTGTTCAAATACAATTTTCTTCCATTCGGTCTAAGTTGTTCTCCAGCCATATTTCAGGAAGTTATGAATGAAGTAGTTAGTGATCTTGAAGGTGTTGAAGTTTATCAAGATGACCTCATTGTTCATGGTTCTAATAACGTAGTTCATGACCAGAGACTTATTGCTTTATTGCGTCGTTTAATTGAGAAAAATATTACAGTGAATCCAAATAAGTGTTCATTTTGTGTATCTAGTTTTGAATGCCTTGGATACCTAGTTGATGGTAATGGTTTTAGACCAGATATGAAACGACTAGCTCCACTGACAAATGCCCCGTCTCCAAAAAATCTTACGGAATTACTTTCACTAATGGGGTGCTCTTCAACACTATTCCCGTTTCATTCCTAATTTTTCTTGTCGTGCAAATTGTTTATTTAATATTTTGACATCCAATTCATTCAAATGGAGTGAGGAACAAGAGTCATGCTTACGTTCAAATGGTTCAAATGGTTTTGGACGGAATAGAAGAAGCTTTCGCTTAACAGGCTTCCGTGTCTAGTAGCAGGGGATCACCAAATCCTCCAGGCAGGAACCTAGGTATGTTAACAATAAAAGAGGAAAAGAAATTGGTAAATCATAGTATGATACTGTCCTTGGTCCTTAAGAATAGGTCAAGTTGCCTCTTGAAGGACTCCTGAGAAGTCGCTTGGACTAGCTCGGCCGGCAGCGAATTCCAGCTTTTGACAACTCTTAAGGAGTAGAAGTTGTGTCTACATCCCGTCTTGCTATGTTGAGTTTCCAATTTCTGGGTGTTACCCCTTAGGTTAGTATTCGAACTAAGCTTGTGTAGGTGTTTAAGAGGATGTCCAGAAATGTTAAGAATACTATAAGCCATTAATAAATCACCTCTAAGACGCCTATACTCTAATGGGTAAAGGTCTAGTGAATGGAGGCGTTCTTCGTAAGGCTTAGATTTGAGTCCGCGGACTGATTTCGTGGCTCGCCGTTGGATACGCTCCAAAGTGATCTTGTCCTTTCGGAGTGAGGGGGGAGTACTATATTTCCGTACTCTAAATGGGGACGGATAAAACTATTGAAGATTGTATGGAAAGTTCTTCCGTCAAACTGGCCAAAAATGCGCTTCAATGTTACCAGTACAAGGTTTGCTCGGAAGGCATTTTTGTCACAATTAGCGTAAGACTTTAAATCATGGGGCACCAGGACTCCTAAATCTTTTTCGACTTGGGATACTACTAGAGAGGAGTTTCCTAAGTTGTAACTGTAGTTTGTGACATGTCGCAGATGGACTACTTTACACTTAGAAGTGTTAAAGGTAAGTCCGTTATCATCTGCCCAGCTTTTAAGTCGAGTCAGATCCTCCTGACGTGCCTGTGTATCGTCTTGGTTGCGTATCTCTCCAAAGTTTCACGTCGTCGGCAAAAAGTAATAAGTCTGACGTTACCTGTTGAGGAAGATCGTTTATGTAGATCAAGAAGAGAAGAGGGCCTAATACTGAGCCCTGGGGGACCCCACTAGGACGTTCCATAGCCTGAGATAAAGTGAAATTAACCCTAACCTTAAAGTGTCGATTTTCTAGGTATGAAGTAAGCCAATCGATTAGAGGTGGTTTGATACCTAGTCGTTTGAGCTTATTGATAAGACACAAGTGGTTAACTTTATCAAAACCCAATCTGCCAGCTTTGGGAAATTTTGGGGAATTTTGGGGAAATTTTGGGGAAATCCCCAAAGTTAAAAACCTTCCCCAATGTTTGGGGAAATTTTGGGGAAATCCCCAAAATGAAATATTTTTCCCCAAAGTTTGGGGAAATTTAGGGGAAATCCCCAAAATTTTCGTAGCGCATTTTTGCACACTAACATTTCGTCCAGATAATATAATTAAGACTCACAGTAGTAAATTTGAATAGAAAAATTCACATTTCAATTCAATACAGTCTTTTGATGAGGGATAATCTATCGAATTCCAGGTCTTGTTTTAATACATCAACAATCAGACAGTAGACAAAGAATTGTCGGTTTTAAAGCACTTTTTCAAAATTTGAAAGCTATGCAGGTGAGTTGTCAGCAGTGCTGGTCGGAAAATTTTGTTGCTGTCTATGTTCAGTTTTACTTAAGTGAATTATATCTTTTAGAATAATAATAATAGACAGCTAGATAAAATTGCGAAAAGGCGGGCAGCAGACACGAAATACCCTAGGTTGTTTGGCTGTTCCCGATCAACCTATTACAGAAGGTTGAGGAAAATAAAAGGACAGTTCATAAAGAAGTGTCAGTTACCGAGCTGTGACGAAGAGACAGACAATCCAGTTGTCGTCACAGAATCGCGTACTAACGTAGCTACAGAGCAGTGGACTAATATTGTCACAGATACAGCTACTGCTTCATGTAGTCACGTCCAGTGTTTTTCACGCATGCGCATTTATTTACAGCATCAAAGTGGGAAATACATATTAGTTGACGATAAGGAAAACAAGCAAGTGGTCTGTATTCCGAAAAAATGGCTCCTAACCAACGATCATTACATTTATCGTGATGATATCAGTGAACACGAAATCGTTGAGGGTATTGATGTTGACAGTCGATTCAACGTGAGAAAATGTGCTGTTATGCATCGTTGTGGTAAGTTGTAACCCATTCACATTTATTGTTTTCAGACGACTACAATGTAGCCCAGGAATTAAAAGTGTGTTTAGCAACAGTACTGGGCTACAATACTAACATCACGAATAACGATGAGACGCAGCCTTGTGACGCTAAAAAACCAAAAAGGTAAATTGTTCAACTTATTATATCATTGGTGTTAGAACTGTCACACGAAAGCACAATGATTATCTATGCACCTCGGAAGAACTAGAGGTTGCTGAGGTTGAGGCTGGATTTGCCCCGGTGAAATTTCCAGTTGTCAACATTTCAACAGGAACGTTTTCTCCTATTGCGAGGTTTGTACCTACTTTATCAATACTCATATAGCAGTTCATCGACAGCTGACGTATCATCACCACCACTTCCACGTACGTCGACGGAAGTTGATAAACCGTAAGTTGCATTTACTGTATTCCTTATAACAAGTTTGTGCGATGATACAAACAAAATGTTAAGAACGCTCCTGAAATCGGTCAGTGAGCTGTCTACGAAAATAGACAAACTCATATTTTTGTGTCAACGCTTAGCCATGGGTGTGATCGATAGGCGTACAGAGGAAATGGATAGTGATGCTATACATTTCCCATTAAGAACGCATGAGGAGTTGCGTTCTTTAGAGGCAGCTTTAGAAAACCAAAAATACCGAGATCATTTGGTAAGTTGTAAAAGGTGTTTGCATAAATTTTAGGTGGCAAGGTTACGCAACCTAATGTGTGACGATACTCGGAAATCAACTAAAGCTTGTCTTCAATACATCCTGTCGCCGGAACTAGCGAACATTTACACTTTGCACGGAACCAGAAGTAAATTTGGTATTAGTAAGTACAAATTTTACTCGACGGTTCAAAGTAAGTCAACTTTACTGTGTTAACATATTTGTAGGTGCTTTGTGTTCACATTTCCGAAGTGCAAGCTGCCCGGAAAAAGAAATATTACACGCCATGGCTACAGCAAGCCAAGCCTTCTTGCATGACGCAAGAGATAAAGTACACAAACGTGGATGGCGATCCAAAGAAAGGGTGAGCTAAAACTACTAAATATGTTTGTTATAATACATATGTTCACTTTGTCACACATTGTTCCTACTCATTCCCCTTCCTACTCTTTTCTATATTGTTTAATACCACTTAATAAAATGCATGATTCTGTTGTATTCCCAATAACTGAAGTTCACTTTGGGGTTTTCCCCAAAATTCACAGGATGTTAATCGTCATTGTATTTATCACTATAATCACTGTACTTTAATTACTGTAACAGCTTATTACTTAGTCATCAATACTCAAAGTGATATAACTTGTCTCTTGTCTGTTTCCCTTTCAGCTGGCTTCGCAGGCTTTATCAGACGTTACTGTAAGTTCTTTGTTCGCATTAATAAGAACATTGTCATACTATTGATACATTACCAATCTTTCACATATCTCGACGCGTTATTATACACTAATAATGATTTATTTATTTTTTAGAACATTATCAATGACACTTCTACGTCGACGTAACGTGTTGCTGTTACAACGCAATGAAAAACTTTGTATAAATGATTCATTTGTAATTTTATTAACTGTAATAAACATTTATATAATTCATAAATCAGTCTTTTGACAATCGTGACAAATCGGTTAACATTATGTTTCATTAGCAATGCGCGATTGACGAAAAGTAATAAAACGTCGCAGTAAGAAATGTACGTAAGCATTCTCCTACGTCTTCCGTGATGTCGATAGGCTTTCGAGAAGCTTTTGCGTTAAAACTGTTTTCCAGGAAAACCCAAAGGTTTGGGGAAGCTTCCCCAAAATGATATAACTATCGTGTCCGTTCCCCTCTCATCCGGCTTCGCAGGCTATATCAGACGTAACCGTTGCTTAATTGTTCTTTCGTATATTATTTTATACTACTTACTAAAATTCAGTAGTAAGTTATATTACCAAAACCTTCAGTTCACTTTGGGGATTTCCCCAAAGTTCCCCAAAATTTCCCCAAAGTTCCCCAGAATTTCCCCAAAGTTCCCCAAAATTTCCCCAGAATTTCCCCAAAGTTTCCCCAACCTTCCCCAAGGGTTGGGGAAATTTAGGGGATTTCCCCAGGTCTGGGGAAATTTTGGGTTTTTTTTCTCATTTCCCCAAAATTTATTATAGCGGCTTCCCCAAAATTTCCCCAAAATGGACTCAATTTTCCCCAAAGTTGGCAGCTCGGGAAGCTTTTGAGAAATCAATGTATATGATATCAACCTTTCCCTTGCGATCGAGGATGCTTGTCCATCTGTCCACCGCAGTCAGCAGGTTGGTTATGCAAGAGTAACCCTTCCTGAAACCATGCTGTTGGGGTGAGAAGAAGTTTAAGGACAGTAGATAATCGTTCAAACCATCGCATATCAGGGACTCCATGAGTTTTGAAGGTAATGACAGAAGAGCCACCGGCCGATAACTTGAAGGTTCATTACGTCGACCTCCTTTGAAAATTGGTGTGATGTGAGCCAACTTCCAATTTTTCGGTAGTTTGCCTCGGCTTAGCGAGTGTGAAAACATCACGCTAAGCGGCGTTGCCAGGATTGAGGCTGCCTCCCTCAGTATGGCAGAATGAACCATATCCCGGCCAGGAGAAGTATCTAGTCTTAAGTGCCGCGGAAAAACTTCTCACGAGATTCTTTAGGGATGTTTCGTATGATATTGCGCTCAGAGAACGGTATGTCGGGCAATATTCTTACGTTACCATCTGATTTCAGCAAGTGACTTGCTAGTAAGACGTCCTCTACATCAGTAGCATCCTTAAGTGTTACTCGGAGAAGCCTTGGGTGATTTAGATGCTTAGAGTTCTTTCCTCTAGAGAGCCGGGAGACCATCGAAGGCTCTATTCTAGGAAGTTCGAGCTTCTTGTTCAATTCACCCCAGAGCATCTTGTCGTTTTTGTCCTGCAGACTGAGAGGAAGGTCAGGATTATCAACGGGGTTCATGATAATGAGAGAGTCGTCACGAACTGTTGTTAATTTACCAGGTTTCACGGCGGATTCATGTTTAATGACTTGCTGTTTGGAGGTCAGTGTGCGTTTATGAGGCTTGGGCTCTTTTTTGACCAGACGAACAGTCTTGGGTGTAGACTGTGCGACCAAATCACCAGTTAATTTCTGTACAGCAACACTTGGGTTGCTCGGCTTAGGCGGTGATGCCTGGTTCTTTTGGGCTTTCTTAACGTGCGTCGAATCACCTACAGGGTTTTTGGGAACCACTGTTGAGTCCAGGGACCCTGAGCTGGGAGACCCGAGTTTGCTTAGGGAGTCTTATACCTTCGACGTAATGATAGTGCTGAGCCTCGACATGTCATCATTAGTGTTGATGGATTCTCCATCGATGGTATTCCTATCGACATCCCTGTTTTTGTATCCGTCGCACGCTCTTGTTTGTCTACCGGTTTTTTTACTGTCGTTGTCCAAGTTAACTGACAACTCGTTCCGAAGACCTATCAGTAGGACAATGATGTTACTCTGCAAAACTACAGCATCCGTGCTGCACGTGACATATACTTCGTGGAACCAACCTATGCAGTTGTCGCACTGCATGCCAGTTGCAACAGCAAAACAGCATCCTGGACGTTTGCATGTGTTTTTCATGACTTCGTTGAAGCAAACTATGTTATAGATGCTTGCAAGAGCCTAAGACCTTTAAAAAAACACTAAAAAGCACACTGAAAACTGACAAAAATGGATAAAATGAGTGTTATAAACTGAAACTAGTCTATACGTGAAAAACAAAAACAAACCGAATAGTAAACTGAGGCAAAACCACAGGTAACTATCAAATATACGAGAAGCATTAGCTGTGTTTTGGGCTGTTAAAAGACTTCATAAATATTTATTCGGAAAGAAATTCACTATTGTTACTGATCATGAAGCCTTAAAGTTTATTTATCATCCTGAAAAGTCCTTAGGACATTCCTCAGCTGCTATGGTTCAACGATGGAGTTTTGCTTTGAGTGCATATGACTATACGGTTCAGCACAGAAGTGCCAAACAAATTCAACATGTTGACTACATTTCTCGACAGTCATTACAAGATCGACCTATTAATACTTCGGACTGTTTGTTAGTGCAACCTTTACCAGTGAGACGTCCAAATCTCATTAGAGAAACTCGCAGATATTTTGGATGTATACTCAGTGCTATACGAAAAGGCTGGACTGCTAATTTGAAACGTAGATTTCCTAACTATTTTTCAAAGAGGGATGAGCTATCTACTACTCCTGATGGTATTCTGTGTTTAAATGATCGTGTTGTCATTCCTCCTCCATTGCGTAAATCTGTTCTTGAAGATCTTCATAGTGGTCATTTAGGTATTGAGAAAATGAAGTCCTTGGCAAGGCTTACATGTTGGTGGCCAGAGATAAATGCAGATATATGTCGTACAGCAAACAATTGTGAGGAATGTCATCAGTCGAAAAGTCATACTTCGAAGTGGACGCCATGGCCAGTATCGTCTAAGGCCTGGCAGAGAATTAATGCTGACTATTGTGGTCCGTTTCTTGGTAAATACTATGCACTAGTAGTTATTGATTCTTTTTCAAAATGGCCTGAATTTTTTTTACAACTTCACTTAATTCTGACTTCACAATCCAAGCATTAAGAAAGGCGTTTAGTCGAGAAGGGGTTCCAATGGTGTTAGTGACAGATAATGGCTCTCACTTTGCTGCAGATGCAGTCACTACCTGGTTGAACGGTATAGGGTGCAAACATCTGTTTACTGCTCCCAGACATCCGTGTTCTAATGGTCAGGCAGAGAATTTTGTCAGGACATTAAAGACTGCTATTGATTCTATAGCCGCCTCAACATTTAATGAGCTGGAGAGGGGAGTAGATACCTTTCTATTGCAATATAGAAATGCCAGACATTCGGTGACGAAGGAGACTTCAGCGAAGCTATTGAAAGGTAGAATTCTTCGGTCGAATATGAGATGTTTGGAGTCTGCAGAAGTTACATATTATCGGGGAAATGATCTTCGACCACCTACGGGTATTGTTCTGAAGAATGTCGGAAAATCGATGGTGCGAATTCTAGACATCAATGATTTAAGTACACACAGTCGACATGTTGATCAAATACAATTTCAGGAACCAGGTGAGTCTGTTCCAATTTCCGTAGTTAATTCTAATGCTATGGAGCAAATTCTAGATAATACAGAATCCTTTTCGAATATAATGGCATACAGACCCAGGATGAATTTGAGAAGAAGACGTACGATTGGTTACAAACACCTAGACTCCAATTTAAGCTGTGGCGGATGTGGTATTTGAGCGAACTAATGATACTATGGTACTGGTTGATTGTACAATTTCGAATTTCAAATACAGTACATTCGGTTGTGCCTGTGTCTTCTTAATTCAATTACATTATTTCTTGGACTCTTAGTTCGTGCTATAATTCAAATAATTCGAAACATTATAATCACCTCCGGAGTCGTGGAGAAGTACGTTCAATGTTGGGGATGCTAGATCTTCAGAAATCACTTGGTAAACGTCTCATGTTTGTAATTTTGTCATGGAAATCTGAATTTTTTTATTTTCCTACTAAAAGCGTCCTTTTTTACAGTCAGTATATGTTTCTCAACCGGAAGAACTCCAAATGTCATTAATTCACTTCCTCTTTCAGTACATTATTTTGTGACCTTTTTACAGACATTTTTTTATCGTATATATACTCATGGGCTATGCATTTGTTATTCGCTCTTCCGTGCTCTTTAGGAAATGTATATGTTTTCCCGGTTAAATCTGATCTTCTCCTCTAGTTAGCAGGACTGGGACGCAGTGTAATATCATAGCTTGTTCTGTTTTTATGTTGAAGACTTTCATTCCATTTGTCGGTCCTAAATGACGTCTCGATCCCTCAAACATAGCGGTAGAGACAAGGTTGAGAAAGTATAGATCCTGCAAAGTAAAGCTATTGTTGGAGCAACAGCTAAAACTGATCCAGACTTTGCCGAATACAAAAATGACGTCTACCATCCAACCTAGAATATATATTTCTACTACCGCATCGTTACTTGATTGCATCACAAGCAGTATTGCAGAATTTCGCTACGATCTTGATGCTTATGTTACTTCTGACATGTAGTTTCAGCGTCATGATGATCTATTTAAACTTGACTTTGCCAGTCAAGACGATGCTTTGAAAGTTCGGCTGATACTTCGAAATGTGGGTCCGAGTGAGCTAGATTGGTACTGAAAATCGGTTTTGTCTCTGAACCCATGTGACCGCCTAAATTTTGACACTGTTCAGTCATTAAGCAAACAGTTTGGAAAACATTCCTCATTATTAAAATCACGTGATCAAATTTTGAAGCTGATTATGAACGAAAATGCTGACTTTCCTGCGCATATGTGGATCGTTATCCATGAGTGTAAACGCTTCCGACTGAAGTCACTGACTGAAGATCAGGTTAAAACCCTTATTCTCATCTACAGTTTTCAATCGCAAACGTTTAGCGGCATAAAACACGGTTACTGTGTCTAGTCTTCCGGCTTCCTACTGGCACTACGGTGTGTTGCATTTCGTACGAATATGCCCATTTAAACAACATCGTTGCGAGAAATGTAAGTTTATCGGTCATAAAAATAGATTCTG